CGGCCCCTCCTGCTGCGCCGCCGCCTGCCGCGAGGGCTCCGCTCCGGTCGGTGGGGAGGGAAGGAAGAGGACTGCTCTGCAGGGCGCTCTGGTTCTCCGCGCCGCCGCCCCCTACAGGGCAGCCGGAGCAGAACAAGAACAAAAAAGAAAGAAAAGCGGCTGTGCCGCCCTAGGATTGGGCAGAATGCCGCCTCCAACAATCTGCCACCCCAAGCACCAGCTTGCTCAGCTGGTGCCTGGAGCCGGCCCTGTGTACATACTATCAGCCTGGATCAGGCAGAGAGGTGACTGGATAGAAACTTACACATGAACTCCACTATCTACTCACCTATGTCCTAAGGGTGACCATGCTGTTAGAAGGCTTGTGTATTTGGAGAAAAATGGGCTCTTTGTAACTTGGGAAAGAGAAGTTAACAGATCTGTCCATCAATCTTAGGTACCTATATGGTCCCCAGCTCTGTAGTATCTGAGCACCGCAGTCTTGAATGTATTTCTCCTCAACACTGCTGTGAGGTAGGAAAGTGCTATTATCTCCATTTTGCAGATGGGGAACTGACTCCCAGAGAGATTAAGTGTCTTGCCCATGGTCACACAGGAAGTTTGAGGCTGAGCAGGGTATTGAGTCCAGGTCTCTAGCTAACACCCTAACCACACGAAGCCCCCTGCCCCGAACCACTGTAGCAGCTGAACACCAAAACACAAACTCAATTTGTTGCCATTTTAAATTGTTTAGCAAGCCGTTTAGCAATTGCTTCCTTGTCATTTCCCGTCAGCGCCGTACATTTCCAAAACAGTCAGTGATTAAGCATTACATATGGATCTTGTGTAGTCATTTAAAGTGCATCTTATGCTGTTGCTAAGAGATGAAGCAACAACAGGAACATGCTATTCACCAGGGCTTATGTTCTGTTGATAATAAAGTCTTATGAAAAGTAACCGGACTCCGCTTACCTTCTGTGTGTGGCCATAATCCGGGGAGTACTTTATTGGCCTGTTTAATGTGACTGGAATGCACTTGTAATCTCTTTGACTTTATTGCCTTGGTTTTTTTTTGATGGCAATAGTATTTTAAATGCTGCTAAATGGTTTTACTATAGACTGAAACCTGACCTTGTACTGGGTAAAGAAGAAGAGCAGATCTTTTAGTGCAAAAAGTGCCTGTTGGGGGTGCACTGGTACCTTGCAAGGACGTGCCTGTTACATGTGTAGGTCCAAATATCAGGAGATTCTGTGCAAATGATTTGATGCCCTAATGAATAGGCATTCCCTTGTTTTGAATTAAATTCTCTCACCCAAAGATTTCCTCTTAGCCTCCCATTTTCTCTGGCTCCCCACATGCCGACTTCTCTCTTGAATTTTCCCCTTTGTTACGTCAGGTGCACTGTTGTAATGTGTGGTACCTAACTGTGAAGGCCGCCTTAAAGCTCCAGCTAATACAGAGCATGGCTGCCCATCTTCTGAGTGGGTCAGCGGGTTGTGAGCATGTCACAGTTGTGCTTCTCGCTCTGTCGTGAATGTCTCTAAATGTTTGAGTGAGATTGCTACAGAGACTAAAAGGATGTGGGCTCATGGGCCTGCCTCTCCCTCAGCCAAAGGTGGTGCAGATCCTGGAGAAGCCCCCAATGTCGTATGCCCACTGATGGGGGTGAGTTTGCAGTGATAAAGTATCTGCTACCTTCTCTTCACCAGTGAGGTACACAGGCCTAAAGTAGTAGCCACTGGCTGGGGAGAGAGGCTCACAGGGATTTTTTTTAAAACACCACACAGATTTAACCAGTGTCTGCAGCGTGGCCAAATGGGTCCAGGCCATTCTGTGGATATCAAGCCATTCCCTTCCTCTTCCCTCTATTTCAATGGTGCTGAAATTTATTCAGGAGTCTACCATTCTTATTCCCAAATGAATGAAAAGTCCTGAAAAGAAGGAGAAAATTGTAACCAAATGTGATACTATTGTAGTTTTTAAAATACATCTTGCTTCCATTTCCGCCTGAATTCCTTGATAGTTCTTGTAACATAAGAAATATCAGCTGAATTTCTTTCTTGTTTCTTGTACTTTTAGATCTAAAAAACCTAAGAAGCCCACGCCTCCTGTAGCCAAGGAAGACAAGTCCAAGTTAACCATTTTTGACGAGGAAGTAGATCCTGAGGAAGGATTATTTGGCCCAGCAAAAGATTTTTCATCTTCCAGTTCCAAGAAGAACTCGTCAGCCAAAGAGAGTAAATGTGTTCCATTTTCCATTATGTACAGTTAGGTTGTGGTCCCTAAAGCTTCTATAAGGGTCTTGTATTTAAAATGGAATGGTGCAGCACATGAAACTTGGGTTTTGACGTAAGAATGTTGGGCCAGACCTTCAGCTGTAAATTAGCTAGAAGTGGAAATAAACATGGCTTGCAGTTGCAATAGCCATACGCTGTTGGACTTTAGATTCTCAGTTGTTATGGATCTGTAGTTGTTGTGTAGCTTATGTGGATGGGTGAGTCGAGCTAGTAGCTCCTGCTAGTGCCGTGTATCAAGAATGTATTTCCTAGCGCTTTGCGGATTTTTACTTTGGATATGGAAGACTTTTTATAAAAATAATTTTTCTGTAGGACGTTTCCTTTCAGCCACACAGCTTGATTCCCCTGCTAACAGTCATGGTGGTGTTGTAGTTGAAGCTTAACTAAACCTTTCTGATGATTCAATCTTTAGATCTGAAATTATTTGAAGACCCAGACCTCGGTGGGACTGTTAAACTAGGCGACTCTCTACTGCTGCCAACGGCCTGTGAGAACAAGGACTATGCGCTAAGTACCAGCCTCAAAGAGGACACAGAGGAGCTATTGAGGTATTCATCTGAAACGGGTCCTGTGGTAATGATGTCCACTAGGCATTCATGAGCAGGAAGCAATTTAGATCCCAAGGCCACAAACTCCAGGGCAGAGCTTAAAAAACATTCTGTGCTGAAAGTGGATTGACATTCATACTAACCAAGACAAGGGCAGTTTGAAAATCAAACACAAAACATCTTTATTAAAGCTTAACAGTAATGGGCACTGACAAACGGTAGCACCTTTACTTTACAAATAATCCTCAGGAGGGTAGATGGGTAGGTCAGCTCTCCATTTTCCAAATGTGGAAATGAAGGCAGAGGAGTATCTTGTCCAAGGGCAAAGATGAACTCTGTTTCAGAACTGAGATTATAATTTAGGCGCTCAATGCTCGGACACTGTGCTCAAGCCACTAGACTGGGCTGCCTCTTTATTTAAACAGTGTCTCTTAAGACATGTATTTATATTTTAGTCAGAACTATGCAAGATCTGGATTATCAGGAGGCTCTGAGGTCGGAGGAAGCATTCATGAACATGCCCTCCCTCTATCTAAAGTACTTAATATGGCCCCAGTTACCACAGTATCTGGGTGCCTCTTAATTTAATGTATTTATCCTCAGAATACTCCTGTTGAGGTAGTTTTGCTGCTCCGATCATTCCCACATTATAAATAGGGAATTACGGCTCAGAGAAAATAAGCTCACACGGGAAGTGTGTGGCAGTGCAAGGAGTGGAATGTGGGTCTCCTGAGTCCCAGGCTGGCCCCCTAACTGCGGGACCACCTATTAGCTCATGCTATGAGTTGCTATCCAGCTTTTTAGTATCCTACTTTAGTAACCAGTCCTGAGTAGAGACCAAAAATTCTGATGGGTGGTGTTAATCCCTTGGAGCTGGTAGTTTTGCAACCTCTATTGTTTATACAAAATGCTATAGTACTAACATATCACAGCAGAAATGCCTGGTTTAATTTATGCAGAGGTTAAGTTAGGTTATATGCCATCTCCTCTTACACTTTGGGGGCACATCTGATATTTACAAGACATGATGTGGCAAGACATAACTCGATTTACTGAGGTGGCATGTTGGGAGTGAACACGCACATTCACAGCTTTTCATGTCTGCTTTATCCTGTGCTAATAATCTAGGCATAACACGCTTCACCCAAATTGTTCATATAACTAGAACAAAAGTGCCTTATTTAGTGCAATTCCCCCATTAGCCATGAAAGCAGTGGAAAGAGCCTGACCATTTGTCATATTAATGCATTTCAAATTATGCAGTCTTCCCTGCTCAGGAACAGTGAAAGAGGCCCACTCTTTGACAGGCAGATCATGCCATTATATAGATTTGGTGTTGAAGAAGATAGCGACAGTTGATCAATTGCCAGAGCTGGTGATAATGAAAAAAGAGGGAGAAGATACTAATTCTTTAAGTTATGACTGATTTTTTTCCCCTGAATTGTCTCAGTGCCAGTATCAATGCCTTCAGCAGCTGGCAATGCCAACATTCAGTTGGAAACAAGTAGGTGTAACCCAGCAGAAAATCAAGTGTGTGACCCTACTGGAAAATGGCACGGGAATCATTCTTGCTCTAGAGACCAATCTTATCCCTGGTAGGGATGTAGAAAGATTGTGCCCTATGGACATAGCAGAGAGTAGGTAAACTGAACTGAGCGAAATAGCAGGAGTAAGGAAGAGCTATTGGAGGACAAGAAATAATGAAGGATGGAAATTAGCAGAGGACCTGAAAAACATAGAACATGGGGAGAAAGAAATGTTGGAGTCTGATTATGGACATGATGGGAAGCAAAATAGAACAGGGACCATGTGAGGTGACAGATGAGTTTCTGCTGGCTTAACCTAGTGGAATTCTTCTTTTCACCCCAAAGAGAATTTACCTGTGAACCCTGAAGCCTTGCAGCTTAACTTTCACAAGTAGTCACTGATTCTGGGTACCTCAATTTTTGATGCCGAACTAGTGACACTTGTGGCCTGATTTCCAGAAGCACAGATTATCTGCAGCTCCCACTGCACCTCATGGCACTTCTGAAAATCCAGCCCCAAGATGTCTCAAGTTGGGTGCCCAAAACTGCGGCCCCTACCAGCAGTGGATTTTTTTTTTCTTTTTTGGGGGCAAAGTTTGTCTTATTGTTCAAGGAACTGATATTTGTGTAAGGATCTAATGAAGGGTGAATACTGAATTATTTAAACAGCAAAGTCCAGAGACCACTCAGTGCACAAGTGGTTTAAACTTAATCCCCATCCCACCCCATTAGTTCCAGAATTCCAATCAGCCCATCCAGATACATCAACAAGCATTGCGTCCCAGCTACTGCGAACCTTGCTGGAGCTGGCATACTGGGGTAGGGACAGAGGAGACCAGACAGGGATCTTAATATATCTCTCTCCAAATCCATGTGGGATATAAAATATTTTTTAAAGGGACTTTCCTGAGCCTTCCCCCAAATCATTGTTCCCCAGTGGGGATAGGGGAGTCTTTGTGACATCACAACCCGGAGCATCGCTTTGGAAAAAGAAACTCCACGGGGTGGGATATGAAATAGTGGGAAGTACGGTGGAGAAGCAAAGGGGAGGAGAGTTTAAAAACCACATGAGGTGAACAGCTCTTTTATCCTTGTTGTTTAGTGCATGCAGCACACAAAATACACTTAATACTGATCTGTAAGTCACCTTTGAAAAAGACATAGTTGTCTCATCATATTATATATACGTGAAGCCCTTTTGAAAACCCATTTTACAGAGCTTAAATGCAGGGCCTAAAACCATCTACGAGTGCCCCTTGAAATGAAAAATGGAGCAGAGGAAGCCTGAAATCAAGTCAGCACCATAACCTAAGTGAAGTCCTGAAGTCAAGATCCTTGCAAATAGCTTGCCTTAGATCAAACAGATGCATTTAGTGTTGGATAGTATGATTAAGGGATATACTGTACTAAGCACAAACATAAGTGAAGTATGACTGTATTCTAAAACCTGTGAATACAAATAAAATGGCCTGATTTCCCCCCTCTGGTAGTAACCACTAACCGAGATTATGTGGAGGGCGGCTCACACATGCATGCCCAGTGGTGGAATACTCAAGACCATGCCAGTACATGCCCACTTATCTGAGATTAGATTTTAGCCCTTAATTGACTTGTTGTACAGTCTTGGGGTCTGTTCTCTTGAGAACACCAAGGGATTTATCCACACAACTTTCCCATGAATCAAGAGAACAGCAGATCCCTTGTTTTATGCTTTATTACATTAGGTGAGTAAACCCAATGCCCTCTGTATATGTATGTAACTAAATGGACTCCACTGGGAAACCCCCTTTGAGGTTTCTACTACCTGCAGGTGTTTTCCCACAAGGATTGTGTGTCATAGTCAGATTATTGTTAATATGGAAAACGATTATGATTTAAAGAGATTAATAGCTCCCATCCCACTGGGGGCTTTGGTCCCAGAGGGCAGCTGCTGCTTTCTCCTCCTGTGTAGCAGTAGCTCCTAGTAAAAGTAGGTAGATTGGCTCCTCCTCCTCCTCCTTCCATTCACTTTCACAGGCCTCTAACATAGGGATGGGCAAACTTTTTGGCCCAAGGGCCACATCTGGAAATAGAAATTGTATGGCGGGCCATGAATGCTCACAACATTGGGGTTGGGGTGCAGGAGGGGGTGAGGGCTCTCTGGTTGGGGGTGCAGGCTCTAGGATGGGGACAGAAATGAGGAGTTCAGGGTGCAGGAGGGGGCTCCGGGCTGGGGAGTGGGGTGCAGGGAGGGGATGAAGGCTCTGGCTGGGCGTGCGGGCTCTGGGGTGAGGGTGAGGATGAGGCATTTGTGGAGTAGGCAGGTGCTCCGGGCTGGGATCGAGGGTTTGGAGGGCGTAAGGGGGATCAGGGCCGGGGCAGTGGGTTTGTGTGCGGGAAGTGGTGCTAGTTCTGGCTGGGAGTGTGGGCTCAGGGATGGGGCTGGGGATGAGGGGTTGGGGGTACAGGAGGGTGCTCCGGACTGGGATCGAGGGGTTTGGAGGGCATAAGGGGGATCAGGGCTGGGGCAGGGGGTTGGGGCATGGGGAGAGGCTCAGGGATGCAGGCTCCAGGCGGCACTTACGTCAAGTGGCTCTTGGAAGCAGCGGCCATGTCCCTCCTACAGCTCCTACGTGGAGCCACGGCCAGGCAGCTCTGCACGCTGCCCCATCGGCAGGTGCTGCCCCTGCAGCTCCCATTGGCCTCAGTTCCCAGGCAATAGGAGCTGTGGGGGTGGCGTTTGGGGCAGGGGCAGTGTGCAGAGCGGAGCCCCCTGGCTGAGCCGGAGCAGGGCCATGCCGCTGCTTCTGGGAGCCATGTGGAGCAGCCCCCGACCCTGCTCCCTGGCTGGAGCGGGGCAGGCCCCAGATCCCACTCTCCAGCGGGAGCTTGAGGGCTGTATTAAAATGGTTGCCGGGCCGGATCCGCTGTAGTTTGCCCACCCCTGATTTGAGATAATTTTCCACACACCACAAGGCTTTTGCTCTGCCACAAAATCCCCCTGTCCACTCCAACACAGCTTCTCCCTACCATGCATATGTGTTGCTCTTATTAAAGGACCTCCTCTGAGGTCAGCTTTCCTGCACTCTTAGCAAGTATGTGTGGTGGTGATGGGGAACCTGGATGAGGTACCTCCTCCTGGGTTCTGGCACTGTGGCTTCATTCACTCTTTCCTGCTCTCCGGGGCTTCCAAGTGCACTGGAGGCCTGAAACCTCATAACCCCAGGGTCCTGCAGGGCAATTCACTCTGGGTAGCCCCAGAATGTATAGGAGGCAATGGCAGATGAAATTCAATGCTGATAAATGCAAAGTAATGGACATTGGAAAACATAATCCCAACTATACATATAAAACGATGGGGTCTAAATTAGCTGTTACCACTCAGAGAGATCTTGGAGTCAGTGTGGATAGTTCTCTGAAAACATCTACTCAATGTGCAGTGGCAGTCAAAAAAGCGAACAGAATGTTGGGAATCATTAAGAAAGGGATAAATAA